TAATACTTGCTATTGTTATTCTGATAATAACGTTTTTTTCCTGATAAAACTGGAATTCTTGGAAAAACAGTGCTGTTAGACCATTTTTCACTTAAAAAGTTCAGACCTGACTTAAAGGATATGGCATTGTTATAATCACTGATAACTGGAATAATAAAAATAATACTTAACTGAGCAGCTTGTAGTAGGAAAATGTACTAACACATGAGTTCTATGTAATGGAAAACAATTACCCAGACTTAACAGAAGTTGATGCAATATTGACTAAGTCTGATCTGATCCATCTTTAATAACTTACCCATGGTCTAACAGGCATTATCACAGCATGGATGAATTCAGTCACTATGACTTGCTAGATGCAAGCTCGCATAGAAAAGTTGCTGAAGGACACAAAGCAAGTTTCTGCCTTGAAGATACCTCCTGTGATTACGGGTATTACAGACGATACGCCTGTACAGCACACACACAGGTAAGAGTTGGTTCAGAGATGACCAAGAGTCGTCCCAACTAATTTTTTTCTTTTTTCCTCTGCCACTGCGGGCTGTATCATCTGATGTGATAACTGGCTTGGAAATTCTCCACCGCAGGGAGCATGATGGCAACTTGGACTCTTACAGTCTACCCAGTTGCTGCCAAATGTGGGTGTCATTAAAGTGCAGAGACACTCATTACCCTTGTAGTGTGGTAAATGAAGGTTAAAACACATGTTATATGAGTTCATGACAAATAGACTGTTAGAGTTAAGTGGGCAGACTAGCCAACACCAGGACAGTGAGGATCATCAGGAGTGTAGCATGGCAACCACACTGTTCCACTTGGGAAGCCAGAAACAGTATCAAGTGATGAGTAGTCCCATGTGGCATGAGGAAATGGTTGATGGTGGCTGATTTTCACAGTATAATAATTGAGGATATCCAGAAGAACGTCTGGACAACAGCTTCAAATAGGGAGAGGTGCTCTTTTAACATGGGAATAAATTACAGAACTCCTTGGCGTAGGGTGTTGCAGGGACCAAAAGTATCTATATGAGTTAAAAAAAAGATTTAGGCAAAATGGAGGGTGTTAAACATGATAATCTGTGTCTCAGATATTGTTAAATGCCTGGTGGAGGGACTTTGCCTGGGTAAAGGACCTCACAGCTCCTGTTTCTTACACTGTTTTTTCCTCAATCCTGTGCTGCTGCTGTCATAGACGTGACATTAAGCTGGACTGACCAGTGGTTTAATTTAGTGTGGCCATATTGTGAGCTTATCCCTTATTGTGAGCAGAATCCCTTATTCTGCAGTTTTTAATTTAGGAGGTTATGTTATTACAAAGAAATGACAGCCATACTTGACTGGCTGACAAGTACACATTTGAATTTTAAATATAATGAATGATCTACACTACACAGAGGCTTTGAAGAGGTTTTTAAAACATATTTTCTCGTTTTGTAGACTATGACATCTAACTAAGCAATGTGTGTATTTTACAGCTGGAGTATTTGTGTCACTAGAATAATGCCTGTGTCAGCATTTCCACTGGAAGCCTATATTTCAGAGATTTGCAATTTTCCTCCAGCCTCAGACTTGGCACATAGATGAGAGTCTGAGCTGATCACCAGCTGGGTCAAGAGGGAATTCTTGCAAGACTTGGATTTTGTGTAGTCTGTGTGTTACTAGGATGTATCAGCTTTCCCTAAAGCAATCTGTATGAGCCATGGTGAAAGGTGCCAAGGTTGAATTACTGATAAATTCATGTATGGGGATTGCTATTAAAGATCCTCGACAACAAAGAATTTTTCAGATGTGTCAGGAAGAAAGACAGCATTTTTAGTTCTACAAGAATTCTTACATCTCTGTGTCAGCCTGAAGAAGAGCCCCTCTGGGCCACTTCCCTGCAAAACTAGATGTGAAAATAGCCTTTTCTGTACCCAGAGGCAGCATTTAGGCACACTGTATCTAGCAAAAAGGTGCATTGTTCCTAAGGGCAGTGATGATTTCCAGCACAGGTGAGCAAACTCATCCTCAAGAACATCAGCAGTGACCTACTTGAAATTTGCAGATATTTAGGCCCAGGCTTTGGTCAAGATTGATTTTATTCTTACTTTGTAAATATGACTGAGTAGTTCCATCAACATTGTTTAACATTGTAACAGTAATGTAACATAAAAAATAATGAAATACAGATAAGATACAGGCTTTTAAATATTCAACCCTACGTTTTCCTGTGAAACGTGATGTTGTGCTGTAAAATGTGCTGTTTTCTGTGAGGTTTCTTCTGGCTCATTTGTATTTGGGCAGGTGTGACTGTTAGGGAAGGGTAAGGAGGCAATGCCAGCATTCTGTCTTGCAGAGGTGGGCAGTGCTCCTGCCTTGCAGCCCAGTGCCTTCTGCTCAGGATGCCTTGCTGACTGACCATCCCTGCACCACAGTGGTCATCAGAAGCACAGCTAGAGGAAAATGGAAATTAGACGTGGCTAAGCAAGAGTGCTTTCCAAAATTAATACTTCCACATAATTGTTGAATTTAAACAACAGATAAAACACAGGTTTTATCTGTTCACAGATCAATGCCTAGCAACAGTATAGCAGTTTCTTACACAAGAGCAGTAGTACAGTGTTTTCTGTACAAGTGGCACGTTAAACCTCTGTGTGCTAGGTCAGGTATTCAAATAAAACGCCCAAAAGAGATTAAACTCATTCCCTCTAGTAATTTTAATTTTTCTTACTGAGACACTGTGATGCTTAAGTGTACTTTGCTCTCAATGTTGCTAATGTATGGAAGGTTAGTCTTCCTTAAAGAGATTTTGACACCTCTCTCGCTCCATTTTTAAGGGATTGAGTCCTGGCTGTTATGACACTTACAATGCTGACATAGATTGCCAGTGGATTGATATCACAGATGTGAAACCTGGAAACTACATTCTGAAGGTAAGGACTTAGGGAAAGGCAAGTTGTTTTGTTTTGTTTTGTTTTTTCCCTTCCTTCCTTCCTTCCTCCCTTTCCCCCCGCCCTCCAAAATACAAATCATGCTTGTATGTCCTTTTGAATGTAAAGTTACCAACCAAGATACGACACACTGCTTTCTTCCCTTAAGGTCAGTGTAAACCCCAGTTATTTGGTACCTGAATCTGATTACTCCAACAACATAGTACGCTGTGATATACGCTACACTGGCCACCATGCATACGCCTCCGGCTGTACAATTTCACCGTAAGTATATTTCTTTTTGACTGTTTTGTGTTCACAGTACTGAAGTTGACATTCAGATTTATGGAGATTAGAAATTTTGTAGCTTTAAGGATCTAATTCGAAGTTCAGATGGTGCATTTCAAAGATCTTTTTTGGCAAGAAAGTTGGGAATCATTACGTTGCTGTTGATAACTACATAACTTGAGAATACTGACCTGTCGTAAATAAATGTTTGCATTACTTAGCATTAATTTTTAAAAAATATTAAATAATATTTTTGAAAACAATCTTGAGTGAGAACTTTGCTTCTGAAGTCTTCTTATTGGGATATGTGACATTTGACAGTAGCTACTACTGCCTGAGCAGTCACTATGCCTGGTTCAAGTCCTTCTTTGTATTTGCACTAAAATCTTTGTTCTCATTCAGTGCCCACTTAGTGCATTCAGACAGAACTGTTGAGCAGTTAAATAGCTCTCAAAGCATTTTGTAAAATCCCACGCTTGTGTGTGAACTTTGCTGCTGTGTGTGCAACGGCTGTGTTTCCTATAACAGCCATTCCACGTACTGTGTTGACAGCTCTTCAAAAGTTTAAACAGTGCTGCAACTATGCTGGTCTCATTTTTTTTTTTATTTTTTTTTTTTTCTCTGAGAAGGCGAATTCACATTTAATTAGTGTTCTTACTTGTAGATCTGCTGTAGCTTAGTAGCTGTGGAAGATGCACACAAAAAAACAATTGTTCTGTAACACAGTAATGAGCAGTTCCCAGGTGCTGCGTTAGTTTCACATATACAACATTTATTCCATGAAATTCCAGAGCAATAATGAACGCTAAATGACAGCGTGGTCTACTCTAACAGCATCAGTGAAATAAACATAGTGTGGATACTGATCAGTTAGCCTTACAAAGGTATTAGGAAACAGGTGATTAATGGAGGCTAAAATGAGAAACTTTCTTCTCAGTCCAGCAGGGAGGTGTGTATTTATAATCACACTCAGGTCATGAATGCAGTAAGTTAAATGGCATCAGCCTAATTCTTTCTTTGTTCTCACTGTATGGTTGTAAGGCTTGCAGGAAACTGGCAGAGCAGGTGCCCTACAGGACAGAGTAATTAATGATGGGCCAGTAGAAGGAGTTTTAAAAGCATTTATGTGTAGCAGAGGTGACTGTTAACTTCAGCAAAGATAGCTTCTTTCTATTCACTCACATTCCAATGGAAGAGAAATTTATGCTTTATTCCTTAACTTCATGGTTTCCTTGTCTTATTAGTAAATGTAATCATATAGATGCTGGTGAGAAGACAAAATTTCTTCTGCCGGTTTTGAGCTGCACCTTCAAGCTGATGAAAGCATATTTACCAGACTTTTTTTTTTTTTTTGCCATTTGCATGACACTGTTTCTTTTCCTTTAACAGGTACTGAGAGAGATACAAGAAAATGGATGAGACGGTGCCAAATGTTTTGAACTGAAGTATCATTATATAAATTTCCATAGGATGTAAACAGTATAGAAGCAAAACTACAGAACATACACATGCACACCCACACACATTGTGATTCTGAAGCACATTGGCTGCTTCTTATCAATATCTGAAACTGGATTTTAGGCATTTGAATTGGCATTATGTTTCTAACTATTGAAATGTGTGGATCTGGTGACTCATGCACAGATATTCTTAAATTTTGAAATATTAACTAATTCACAAAAAAAAAAAAAAAACCAAAAAACAAAAACAAAACAAAACAAAAAAAAACAACCCAAAATATGAGCATTTTTTAACTCCTGCATATTTGGAGTTCAGGTGATGATAGATAGACTTCAGTCAGAATATTACTGGTGAATGAGTTGAGCATATTCTAAAAGGTAGCAAATCTTTCTGTAAAATGAATTAGGTAAAATGCAATAGAAAGCACTAACGCCAGCTATCTCAGAAAGCACCAGAAGGAAAAACTGCTTGAGAGTAATCCCATTGTAACCATTCAAACAAAACTTGCTTGTACATTGTTGATACGAATGAGAAAAGTATGTTCAGTTTGAGGGATATTAACATATAGCAGAGAAATACATATATCTATATCTATCTATCAGTTATACCCCTACAAGAAAAGTTACGTTTACATTTTTAATACATTAGAAGTTTTACCATTTTCTTAAGTCAAAAGCAGATGGGGGTTTTGAAAGAAACCTTTCATCCACAGAAACGAATTAAAGAACTTATCCACCTTTCTATGTCAAAGAGATTTTTCAAGGTGGGGCTTTTGAAAGACTTCTGCACACATAATGTGGATAGAAATGACTACCTGTCAAGAAGAGGGCTCGCAGAGATGATGAAGAGTCCCTGGTGTAGTCATCTGTGAGAAACAGCCCATTTGAACAGGTTAGCCATCAGCACAGGCTGTTAACTCGGATGGCACCACAAAATAAAAGCAGGTCAGAATCTCTAGCATGGTATTTTCACTGTGAGAAAGCCTAATGCCTACTTCCCCCTTAAGTACTGCATTTGGCTGTTGAAATTTGTATCTTGGAATTCAGTTGATGGAAAATGAAAATACAGAGGGAGAACGAAAGTAAATACATTAAGAATCCTAACTTAGGCTGTTCAGGACCCAAGCATTGTTAAGGGGAAAAACTTCCAGCCCACATCAAATTTTTTCACTGATCTTCTTACTGGTGCTGGGTACACCACCCCTCCTCCCATCCCCAAATTATTTTGCATTTGCAGTGCACCCTGCTGTAAGCTACAGTAGCTGTGATTCTGTTTTTAAACTGTGAAATAACATATCACAAGGGGATCTCATGCTTTCTTTCGGAAGATTTCAGATCACGTAAAATGAAGGATCTACTTTTGAAACAATGACGTGGAAGTACTGATTGGTGTTGGTGATGTTTAAGTAGCAGTTCCAAATACCTAACGAAACGTGAAATCTCAGTATCATATACATATATATATATATATATATATATATATGACATATATATATATATATAATATATATATGACATATATATATATTAAATAGTGTGTTATTCAGAATAGTTGAAGAAGGGAAAAATCTGAGGAATATGTATGGTTTTTGATCACTGCTGAGAATACTTCAGGCAGTATTTGGAAGTATATTATGCAGCTGAACCCTATGAACTCCATTTTGGAAGTTTTATCAATTGTTATGATAGCTGTTAAGAATCAGTGTGTTCTTTATTGCATGTATTTATTTCGGGACTACAAAGTACTTCCACCTTAATCATGATTAGGTTATGCTTGTACAGCTAGTTGGTATGCTGAAGAAGCATCTAAGAACCAATAACCCCGTTTTTACTACCCAATGTTTGAAGTGTGTCCTGAATGCAATTAAAGACTGCAGGTCCCTTTTTTGTTTGTTCAGAGATCCATTTCAGCAATCAGCTACCACTGTGGGCCCCAAACAGGAGCAAAATTTGGAAAGCAGATTTTTTAGGAAGCCATGCATCTGCAAAGCAAGGGCCTGATTCAAGTTTAGGCTTCTGAAATCTCAGCTCAAAGAGCTTTTAAGATAAAGAGATGCAAATGCATTCACCTTTCTAGAAACTTAGGTCAGAATTGGGGTGAAAGTCCTGACAGCAGCTTGTGCAATAGACACACAAGCTACTACTGTAATGGAAGCTGAGCTGTGGTGGGCACAGACTGCTTCCTGGTAAGAGGTGGTGTGCTCTTACTTCATGGTGCTTGACACTGAATGTGGGATAAGAGAGTGCTAACTGGACACAGAGAAGCTGAGGAGTTTCTCCCTCAGTTTTCAAGGCAGTACCCTGCTTTCGTATCTATATCCAAACTACTTGCGGAACTCCATTGAGGTCAGCAAGAAGCCAGAGGAGCTTAAGCATCCTGTGTAGGTGGAGCGTGTTGTAGTACTGGACTTGGACCTTTCAGTGGGAATGGCCTGGTTCAGAAAGGTGCTGAACACCACAACTGAGTATTGGGGATATTGTGGTTACAGAGATGTAGCTCTTTTCAGTAGCAAAATGTTTTATTTGTTTTAAAGTGTATGTTAAGGAACATGACATAATGTACATTAGCACAAACGCTGCCTAAGATAACATGAACAATCTATCTAGAAAAGCAAGAGATTTTAGGATTAAAAAAAATGAAGAAATGTGACTTTAACTTACCCTGTTTAACTATAGTTAATCACAATGCAGTAGAAGAGTTGATTGTATAGCAAGTGTAGAAGCATTTCTCAATAGGGGAGTGCCAGCCACTATCTTCAATATCTTGGCTTTGCAGTTGTGCCCCCGATATCTTAACTATTTTCATATGGGAATATATTTAAGAAATTACATGCATTTTTGTTGAAAACCATTTATAAAGAACAGTTTTGATAACATCTTATTTTATAAAGCGAATTCTGTTTTGGAACCCTTTCTACCAGGTGTTTTAAAAGGAGTCTTTGGGAGCAGTATCAGACAAATGGCAGTACAAAATCACTGCTGTGTAGTCCCATATTTTCTTTGAAATGTGCGAACATTAAAGATATGTGTGAAGCAATTGCCTCCCACATTTCGGGTCTTCAGATGAAAACTGCGCATAGGGAACATACTGTGTACCAGACTCTGCAGAAGGGGTTCATTAAATATTTTTTTAATCCTGAAATATATTCACTATTTGAATACTTCTAGACAGAAACATGACGAAAACGACAGATTGGTCACCATCTGAACCAGCATATTGTGTAGATGTTTTTGCGTTGGTGAAAGTCTACTCATTTTCTCTCTGCTCCAAAGTTTACTATGCAGTGTTGAATGGGTGCAAACATCAAATGTACCTTAGTCACTTATGCGTTGTTTGTACTGTACTCATTCAAACCAGCAGGGTGAATTTCATAAATGAGACAACTAAAGGTGGTTTATCCTGTGTCTCACATTTATGCTGACATGGCATTTTTCATTTTCTCCAAATCCTAGAAGGTGCTGAAAGGTTTTAACTTGAATTAAAACCAAAGAGTATGCTATGGGGAGGTTACTATTATGCAACTAACTGCTACAGATTCAGTGAAATGCCACTTGTTTTTGCAACTTTTTTGAAGTTTTCATTATTTCCTTCACTTTTCTTCCAAGAGTCTTGACTTCAGAAAAACTTTGCATCTTTATCTGATGAGTTCTTATTTATAATATTCAGACACTAGCTTTGTATTCCTTATTGCACTTTCATATTCTTGTGTTACATGCCCGTATTATGGTTGCAAGTTTATGTGAAAATGACTTGAATAAAGTTTTTCAAGCGTTCTACTTGTCTGAGAACTTAATGCAGGAAACCATCATAGGCCATATCTAACAAGAAAGCCTCAGTCAAAGGTGTGTGTGTATGCATGAAAAAGAAAATGGGGAAGGTGCTGTTGCCTGGAAAACACAAGAAAAGAAAAGATGCAATGATGATGACTACCTCTTGTACTACACAAAAGCTTAATAAGTGAAGGCATAACAGCATAAGATATGGCTTGTTTGGACACAGCCCTCGTCGATCAAGTTTCCCTTTACCAAATCAGCTGTCTCTGTAGGAACAGCAGCTCAGAAACCACTGTAAGAATTTCTGCATTAAAAACTTTACTCATATGAAAAAAATGTTTGAGCAGTCTGTAGTAGATGGTCAATGCAATGCAAAACAATTAACGCACTGAACACTCACTTACTCCAAAAACATTTAATCCCTTATTTACATTTTTGAATACAGATCAACATCCTGCTGCCTCTGCAATCTGTGTGCTAAACTGGTGAAATATGCTGAATTATGAAACATCTCTGCTCCCTTCACTGAGGGATTAATGCAGAATATGGTTAAAAATGTTGAAATGTTCTAACTTTCTTGACTTTGGGCAAATGCAGACAAAAATGATGTCATACCCTATGCAGTTCATAAAGTAAATGTAGAATTATTTGAGATAGACACGTGGTGGTGTTTCTAAAATTTAACGAAATGATTACAGTTAGAGCTAAGAGCTTCAAACTAGGAATTCCTGCAAGCACTACCCATGGAGTGTAGAACTCAGTGTATCTGACTCCATGTGAAAAGGCAGTCAGAGCAACGACACGTCCAATTGTTGTGGCAGTCTTTTAAAAAAATACAAATCTGAGCTTGTTTGAAGTGAAAACACCGTGCACCTAAAAGCACTCTGCGAGTGTTTGACACAGGGTGAGAACATCTCTGCTGTAGTACAGTAATGGAGTGGAAAGCTTGATTCTCCAGGATTCTTAATCTTACAATCACAGAGTGAATTATCTTCCCATATCACTAGAAAAATAAATCAGTCATACTTTGAGAGAGGTCGCTGCCTAAATGATGTCACAAACCAGGTTAACATCATGTACATGTGGAAAATATTGCCACCATGAAGAAAAAATGTTTTGAACTTTTATCAACAAGTTCCAGTTGAGTTTATCAGCTCACAAAAAATCACCCAGCTGCATATAAAAAATATTATCAAGTCTCAGCCATCAGCACTCATTTGTACACTGCTCAGCACATTAAGGCTGTGATCCAGGTGAGTCACCAAGCACCAGCTACAAGTAGTAATGGCCTATTAAAATCTGAAGCAATGCCAACAACCTAATCTCCCTCCTCTCATTCATGTTCAACTTATCTTTTTTCATTATTTTTTTTTTTTAAATAGGAGCTCAGAAGTTCAGTCATGTTTCTGAAGAGGAAAAAAAGATGTTTTGATAAACTAGGTTTCCTTCAGGAAGAATTCTATGGGCACACATTACAGCTCCAAGAATGTAGTAAGAAATTTGCTCAAATGCCAAGACAAACTAATGCTCTTAGATCTCCTAGCACATGCAGAAAAGCACTTCAGAACACACGCAAAAAGACATTTTGTTTCAAACTATTTGCATTCCTTAACTTTTCAGTCTTTAGAGTGAATCAACTCTTAAAATATGATGCTCATCTACTCAAGGAAAGATCAACCATCCATTAAAAAGTATATTAGAACCAATGACAGCAAACAAAAGAAATTCTTCTGGCCCTTCACTGGAACCAGAGAAGTCACATGTCAAACATTTGTTTGGAATAGCATTTGACTAGGATTATTTATTCATTTATTTATCTTAGGCATTAAGGATCAGCATTTCCATCTGGAAAACTGGAGGAGTTTGCATGTGGCATGACTTTTTCTACAAAAGATTATCCTTCCCTACAAAAGAACAATAAAAATGCTTTCTCATTTTCATGTTTTATTGTGATGCTTCTGGCTTTAGATTTGATGTCATTCAAGATGGTACATTAAAAATAACAGCAACAAAAAGCACTGGGAGATGGAAGGATATATCAATTTCCTGTTCTTCTCAGCATCAGTGCAATTCAGTAAGATAATACCACACTTACAGACATTTGGCCTGAGGGGCAAAGTCATATGTGGATAATAATAATCCAAGGAACCACTGTAATATTTAGCTTACAACAACTGAACACAGTAAGAGGATGGGCAGAAATACTGGGATATAAGTATTAAGATACAAAGTCTACCAGAGTGAGGGAGGGAGGGAGGGAGACAGAGTGGTGGTCACACTGTTAAAAAAAAAACCCTAACCTTGTTCCTCCCATTTGGCTGTAACATCATGGTAAATAGAATATACTGAGGAATTACACAGCGACTGCATTTTTACATGCTTCCAGTAACTGCTTTAACCAACAGATGGTAGTCACTAAGTCTCTGCTTGACTCATTCCTCTGAGTATTACAAAATCACAAGGAATTGATGAGGTTGGCATGGTCCTCTAGAGGTCATCAGGCTCAACCCTTCTATTCAAGCAGGGTCACCTAGAGCTGCTTGCACAGGACCATGTCCAGATGGCTTCTAAGTACCTCTGAGGATGGAGACTCCACATCTTCTCTGGACAACTTGTGCCAGCACCGGACCTCTTACAGTGACAAAGTTGTTTCTTTTGTACTGAGAAAAGTCTGTCTTGATCTTCTTCCCCTCCCAGTAATTACAAACACTGGTAAGATCCTCAAGCCTTCTACAGACTGAACTGTCCCAGCTCTCAACCACTCCCTGTACATCAGATACTCTATTTCTTTTATCTTCTTGGAGACCCTTTGCTGGACTTTCTCCATTGTGCCCACATCTTTTGTACTGCAAAGTCCACAACTTCCAGGGACTGGGATAGATACAGGCTCACCTGTGCTGAACAGAGAAGAAAGATCACTTCTCCAAACTCGCTGCTCCTCTAATAAGGAGTTGGACATCTCTACTATTAGGATGAATTGCTGGCTTGTGGTCTGCTGGTATTCACCACAAACCCAAGTCCTTTCCTGCAAGCAGCTTTCCATCCCATTTGCATCCAGCACAGACTACTGTACAGTGTTACTGCTCTCCAGAGGCAGTGCTTTCCATTTTCCTTAACTAAGCTTCACAAAGTTTAAACTTTCCCTCTGACCACTTCTCTAGCCTGTCCATGTCCGTCTGAATGGCAGCACAACCATCTGGATTGTAAGCCATTCCTGCCAGTTGTGTATGTGCACTCTGTCCTGTGATCCAGTTCATTAATGGAGATGTTAAATACTACTAAACTCAGTACTGAACCACTAGTTACCTCTCTTCAGTTATGTTGGCTATGTGCTATTCAAAACCTTTGGAGCTCAGCAGGTCAGCAAGTTTCTGGTTCACCTCATTATCAATTTATGTAGTCCATATTAATGCAGTTTGTCTATAAGGATATCATGGGAAAGAACAACAAAAGCCTTATTAAAGTTGAGATAAACAACATCCACTGCTCTTCCCAACATCTCCTTCCCTATCCAAAGTGACATTCAAAGGGTTAAAAAAATTCTTTTCTCACCATTATAAGCAGTTAATAAACCTATCAGGTTGCAGCTTAACACATAGGAAAACAGATTGTTTTTTCACAGAGTTCAATACATAGGACACACTTCTTCAAGAGATGAGAGGGTACACAAGTTGTCATGGATTTTACAGTAGACAAATCTGCGGAAGAGATTTCTATTGAGGATTATTAAACACAGTAAACTACCATATCACAGTAAGTCCCTGAGCTACAACACCAGAAGACAGGAGAATCTTAGAATGATGTACCATTGCCTGCTTCCACTAAACCTATACATATAGCATCCCTCTTTTTGACTTGTTTCAATTAAGCTGCAGAAAACATCCCTGAAGAAACATACTAAATAACTAAAGATTTTTGTCCAACAGTATCTTTTTATATACATTATATTTGTTTAACTATCAACAATATCTAATAAGAAAGATGACTTCTAACTGTACAAGTGCAAGAAACGCAGACCACACAGATACAATCTCCAGGGCAGGAGTACTAAAGACACTCAGTATCTCAAAGCAGCAGTATAACCCAAGAACAACAAAGACCACAATTTAACAGGCCAGTATTTTATTGCTACCCAGAACATGTGCATTACTAATTGGCTTTCATAGCTAACTGACACATCCATGAATTTGTAAAGTCTGTTCAAGTTTAAGAGATTTCCTCATCAAAGATGTTATTTGATAATACAGACCTAGGATTATCACTTCAGTAGTGGTGTTCTTACCTATAACTTTAGATCCAGTCCTTAAGTACTTAAAAGTACATTTTTACAAAAATAAAACTTCACAGAATCTGTATTACTCCTACATGGCACAGATGATGCTCTTAAAATCCATTCAGTCATGGTGGGGCGTATTCCACAAACAGTGGCATTATGGAATTGGAATTATCAAGACACCCAAAAATGGATTAATGGGCATAAATTCTTGAGAAATGTAAAATATTATTTAAGTGAAGATTTCTACATTGTTTTCTGTCCACACTACCAAGAGTTGCTCAAATTCCAGTTTTCACCACTGACAAAAACACTGTAAGATGCAAATTTATAATAATCATATTTTAAAATCTCAATTTATATACAATCTAGTCTTCAAATTTAATCTTTTTGCCCTGGAATGCTGTAATTTGTGACATTTGTTCCCGACGTCTCCTGCTTGCTTCCCATGAAGGATGAAGAGGCTGCTCCAAACGTGGATTCTTACCGTCATGTTTAAGAATGGAGGTTTTTGCAAATGATTGCTTTTTGGGCTGTGGTTCCTTTTTAAGAAGAGCTGCGTAAGAAGCATAGCATGAAACTTTAAATACATCATGAACCTTCATTAAAATTAGCTAAAACAACCTCAAATTTGTAGACATTTTCAGTAACCTATTAATTAGCCATAGGGTACATATTCATTTGAATGTTCACAGTAAGATTTTCTCACCTTCCAGCCCCATCAGTTGTCACTTGGTAAGCTACAGTACAGTTTAAGATTTATTATGATTGATCATTTTGAAAATATATGCAGACAAATATTCACCATAGTCTTAACTTTTTTCTTCACAGTAAGTCAGTCAGAAACTATGCAACTTAATTCACTATGATTGAAAAGACCCCCGGGACTTAACAAATTCCTGTGTGGAATCAGATACCATATACTACCACAGCTGATGGTGGTGACTATGTTGAAAGAGTTTTTGTAGCTGAGAATTTGCTCTATTAAATAGTCGCATTATGCTTTTTCTATAATTTCCATGGAATAAATACCATAATTCAATGGTAATTTCCATGGAAATAAATAAGAGACATGACTTCCAGAGCAACATACATACAAAAAAAAAAAATACTACTCACAAGATATACTATGTGTTAAATACAGCAATCTGTTTACGCTTACCTGTGCACAGATAACATTAACTGCTCAAGGTAAACACAAACAGAAAAGCATTTTCCTGTATGCATCTGTCTTTATCCGTTAATATGCAAAAATAAGAAATAGCAAGCAAAATCCACAAATCAAAGTGAAAGCTAGAAAACCTGATAATTTTAACAACATTTGTCAAAATACATGCCAGAAAATTGAAACAAACAAACAAAAAAGAGCCTAGCAATATTATATACCAGAGGAAAGAAAATCTCAAGTTATCTTCGTTCCCACAACCGTACCAGGTTAAGTAATACATACCTGTTTGTCTGTTTTTGACAGGTTGGTCTTTTGTGTTTCTGAAAATAAAAATACAATTCAGCATTACTCAAGAAATTTCTAAGATGATACACAAATGGAGAACTGACTTCACTAAAACACTTGTGGAATGACCTTTCAAGCATCATAGGTAAAAATCACGTATTGTTTTTATTCTTTGTTAATCAAGGAATTAAAAAAGAAGTACTTCAATACTGATTAGATTCGTATACAGTTTTAGGAATCCTAAATGTATGCCAGTGCTGATGTGAGTATCTCTATTATAATGTGAAAAATCTCTAAACATCACAAAAGCACAAGGAGACTGCAGAGTAGTTTACATGAAAGCATTCTGAGCTGTAATTGACTGAAATTCTCCTTGTTTGGTAACTGCTACAAAAAACTGTAAATACAGTCACTGCTGGAAAGGAGGGAGATAGTGAAGAATAAAACAAGAGGAAAAGGTTTACCTTCTGTTTTGGGATTTCTGATTGCAGGTAGACAAAGAAGTACAGAACACTGATTCCAGCTTCCCAGCTTTATCATGTGGTTTTCCTTCCATGATCCAATTCTGCACTGTTCCAGATACTGTACTCTTTTCTTCCTTCAATATGTTTTTCTGAAGTGTATTCTTTTCTTTTACTGAAGAAACATCATTAACTGCTGCTGTTTTCTTCTTTCTTTTTGCTTTGCCAATGAAGAAATCATCATTGCTATCACTATCAGAATTTGATGTCTGATTATAAAACCTCTCTTCAGTACTATCATCAAAGTATTCCTCTTCACTATGTTGTTCCAGGTCACTATCATCCCTAATTATTTGTTTCATTGCAGTTAATTTGTTCATGCTCACATTTTCTTTCCTTTTTTTACAGACAAGTTTCTTTCCTGTCTGAGTGACTGCTTGCATTTCTACTGTCTGAGACGAAAACTCTTTTGGAATTCTCTCCATTTCCATAATTTCCTGTTCAGGTTCACTCTCACTGAGTTTATCAGCTCCTCCTACAGTTCCCATTTTCACACTCATTTTTGTTTTGTCTTCAAATCCTTGCCAATTTTGAACTAGTTTAAGAACATGTTCATTCAAGTTTTGTGCTGATTTAGGCTGAGCTTCTGGCTTCTTTTCTGAAGGATTGGCTTTACCTGGGTTTTGTCTTGCATCCTTAAAAGCTTTTACAGCAGCTACAAGAGGGGTAGAAGAAAAGTCATTTGTTACTGCTACACTTGAATTAAGTACACAAGCTATTTTAATGAAATAAAACATTTTTCTAAGTTAAATTTATTGCACTGAGTGAACATATTTTGAATGCTTTGATCAACCTTTCACTGAATAGGAGGAGCAAATAACGCCTTGCAGTACAGCTTCAACAAGTGAGGAAAACAATCTGAAATCATTACCACCTAGACATGCTGTTTTTGAAACTGGGTTGAACTAGGGAAGCTTAAAAAAGTGACTTGTAGACCTGGTACAACAAGGGGGAACAGTTTTAAACTAGGAGAGGGGAGATTCAGGTTACATGTTAGGTATTAATTCTTTATTCAGAGGGTGGTGAGGCACTGGAACTATTCAGAGAAGCTATGGATGCTCCATCCTTGGAGGTGCCCAAGGCAGATTCAGTGGGGCCCTGGGCAACCTGATCTGGTGGGTGGCAATCTGCCCATGGCAGAGGCTGGGGACTTTAAGGCTTTAAGGTCCTTTCCAACCCAAGCCATTCTGTGATTCTGTGATATGACTCCATGGCTCTTTTAGTTACCTTGAAAAGTTATAATGCTTCTTTTTCCTTAGTATCTGCTCGTTGCCAGTTCAGTCTTATTTAGTATGCCATATGGTGTACTGTCACACATAAACCCATGATGGCAACTTGTGGTACTGTAGCTTGTCAAATTGGTTACAGGGGCTGGTATACTTTTCCTTCAACAGTGGTTGTTCGTAACAGGAGTTAACATGAGCAAAGTGGCACATGGACAAGTTACTAAGTCAAAACAACTTAATACATTGTTTCATACCTTTAAGTTCAGCAATTTTGGGTTTCAGAAGGGGGTGTGTTGCAAGTCTTGCAAGAGCTCGCTCATTTGCAGTGGACTTTGGCTATAAAAAATAAAATACATAAAATAAGCAGAATAATACAGGATAGGTCATGCTACTATGCATATTAATGTGATTCTGGAATACTAAATGAACAAGAAGAAAAGGTTATAACAATGTAATATTTGAGTATTTCTTAGCTTTCCTGTATTATCGTAATTCTGAGGAAAAATCTGATTGCAAAAACCTGTCAGAAACACAACAGATGTAATTCTGCAATTTATCATGTACTGAAGAGGCATAATACAATTTTTACTTTAAAAGAACTAATCACATTCTATATTCTGTTTCTGCCATATATATTCTGGAATATTTTACATTCTGTTTCTTATAGGTGTAAAGTAAGTTGATGAATCCCTTGATTTTGATGAAAGAAGAAATTAGCACTGTATTGGTAGAAGCTGTTTGGCATGACAGAATAGAGCAGCTTGTAAGAAGTACCATTAGTGTGGGAAAATCTCATAACAGGTATCGAAGCATTATACATTAAATGTGATGTAGAGGCAAGGACAAACTCCCTCAAATGTGATGTGGTAGAACAATAGAATTACACAGACTGGCTCAAAGACCAAATATGATCTCAATGCTTCAATGTGAAGAAAAAGGAGAGAAGCAGGAATTGCTTTCACTGTTGAATTCATCTAGAATTCACTGGTACTAGCTATTGCATTTTCAGGCTCTTGTCATGACTGTGCTTCAAGAACAAAACAAGAGATATCTGAGACTTTTTAAAGGACAGCCTTGTCTTGGTTTTACCTGAGAGGGAAGAACTGTGGTGTGCAGGCAAGCTCACTATGAAGATTTATTTACAGCTGCAGCAGAACTTGTGAGAAAAGAAAAAAAAAAAAACACCTTCTTCCTAGTGGTACTGTATGGATATATTTATAAACTGTTGTAACCCATGATTTGAGCTGTGTGTCACAGAATGTACTCATGGCAAAAGCCACCTCAACCAACGGACGATGAGGCTTACAAAGAACTGGGCAAGTGCCCAGTGATCCTGCCTGAGCAGGCTGTGGCATTTCAGCACAATGTGATGCCTTTCCTGGCCTGAGCCACCACTAGAGATGGAGCCCAGCCAACGGCTGAATGAATTCATGGGACAGTTGATGGAGGTGGTTCACAGCTCAAGGGAATAAATAATACCTCTGCATACAGTCAGAGGGCAGCAGGCTGGGGGTAGCTGATAAGGATGTACTGAATAATTAATGTAGCATATGAGTGTGATGTAAAAGTATGGAATAGGCAATGGGAGATTGTAATGGGTCTGTCCTGGGATGAAGTCAGCTTTCTCTATTTCTGCCATTATGGTTCTGTACTTTGATTTGCAACTAAATCAAAGTTGATAACACACCAATGATTTTGTTACTCAAGGCCTTCTTCATTTCTCTCTCAAGAGAAAGGCAGAAAAGGTTGGAAGGGAAAGACAGTAGGGACAGCTGACAACAAATTCACTAAAAGGATATTCTATGCTGTATTAAGTCATTTTCACCAACATACACTCAAGGAAAGGAGGCAGGAGGACATTCGTTGTTATTGCATCAGTTTCCCCCAAGCAACTTTAAGAGTGTAGAAGGCTTGTTTTCTGGGATGTGACTGAGGTTCTGCATGCTGCTTGGGAGTAGTGAATAAATTCCATATTTTCCTTTGCTAATGCACAGTTTTGCTTCATTTATAAGCTTCCTTTATCTCAACTCGTGAGTTTTACCCCTTTAGTTCTTCTGAATCTCTCTCATCCTGCTAGGTAGGAGGAGTGGAAGAGTAAGCAAGCTGGTGAGTGCCTGGCTGCTGGCTGGGGTCCAATCATCACACGTACAGACACTACCCAGTACACTGTTTGATATACGAATCTTCATCAGAGAATCTTACTAGCCTTGTATGCACCTCTTCTTCCAGCACTTATGCCGCTTGATATGGATAGCCATGTATTCATTGAGTAGAGACAGAGAGACATGACTTGCCAACCACTACAGCTGGAGAGTCATTTTCAGTGCTTTAGGTCTGAAGAAAACAGAGCAGATCCTGAAATTTGGAATCTTACATCTTCCTGCTAAGTTTCTTAATATAACTAAGGCATTACAGCTACAGCAGATCTACTACTCCCAAATATGGAAACATGCAATTGGTATGCAAAATGTAAAGCTTGTTCCTCAACCAATTCCAAGCAAATCTAACTTGCTGCAGTTCTGTAGCTTAAAAAACACATTCTTGTTTTGTCTGTTCAGATTTTAATTTGAAGTGCAGAGCATCGGCGAATCCCAATATATCTTCCTCACCAAGTCCCTGCTAATACAGTATTATTGATTCAGATAAAGATAAAATGAAAAAATATCTTTCCTGTTGACTGTCCACAGTGTTATGACAACCGGCCAGAGAATTTGAGTAAAAAGATGAGTCCACTACCAAGGGTCAAAGACGGTGTTGCTCCTAGACTTACTCTCAGAGCTAGAAGAGCTCAGAGAACTCTGAGTCTGAGTTTTGATTCCCCTGTGACAGTGCAGCATGCTGCCACCAGATTCCTGGGACAGCAAGCTCACATTTCTGGAGATCAAAGAGTATTTTCTTTGGAGATTTTTGTCTAGCTGGAAAATGTATTTCAGAACTTAATTAATACACTTTTCCCCTCAGCTACTTCCTGTGGGTTTTGAAAGAATATACCATGAAGTTCATAAAGCAGCAGCAGCTTCTGTGCAACATCTGGTGTCTTTTAATTCAAATATTTATACAAAGGGTTTAAGCATATACATGCCAATGCATATGGGATAACCACATTTTTTCCTTATAGCAAAATACTTCACAAATGCTACTCACACTGTGAGACAGCAGCCAACAAACATATAATATGACATTCACATTCTTAAAAAATTCCCATTTTTCTATTTTTTGGCACATCCAATGCTCAATTTTTTTTTTCCTCAACTATTTTCCAGTATATAAAGCCTTCGCAGAGAAAAAAAAAGTACCTACTGTATCTATAGCAAGAACTATGTATATATAATGTACATACATATTCCCACTCCTCACCTCCCCGCACTACGTTTGCTTTTGTAAATACTTGCTTTCACTGGTTCCTGCTATTCTTGTATTATCTTGTGCTACTTCAGTTTTTTCAGGTAAGAATTTCCACAAGAATGTTCTGCCTCATTCAATTTCCAACTGAGGCACAGCAAAATAAACAAAGCAACTGAGTACTGAATAATCATATTATATTATATATGTTATACATTATATATGTTAAAATGAAAAACAGATTTACACTACAGGTTTTGAAATGTGCTGCACAGAGGTCAGGAAAAGTAAGGAATGACTCTGAGTGCTGGCAACACTGGGTCAAAAGAAGCAGCTGGATGAGAATGTCAGGCAGAATTTGTGTGGCTAGCACCTGCCTCGTACAATGCAGGAAATAAAGTGAGAAAGAGAGTCTCTTGCTAGAGATGGGATTTGCTGCTGTTAAAGGCAACACCTTGCTAGCATGCTTTTTTCTTTTCTTCTTCTTTTCTTCTTTCTTCAAGAAGAATTAAGCAGCAGGAATGTAGGATCAACTTGGGGACATGATATGCTGACTTCTGATTATTGCTTCATTGTTATCATTCATCATGTTCAAAATTCCTTTTGGTTTTACCTTGTGCTACAATTATAATAAAAAAATAGAGAAGAGGCCATAGTTTTATCTTTTAATTGATTTCTGTATGAGAAACTACAGGTAGCTTAAAACAAGATTAATACTAGAAGACTACTAACTAGAATTTCTACTAGGTCAAAGGACAGTGCTGACAGACAGGTAGTGCCTGGTGGGCTTATATCAGTCCCTGTAAATGATTTGCTATGATATTTAGATGGAGACAGCCAGAAACCCTCTGGATGAGCGTACAGTATACAGTACATTGCTAAACCTATGACACAAAAAATAAACTTGAAGCATGTCTGACTGAGGTTTCTAAATTAACTAGAAGTGCAGTCTAAAGCATAACAGCAGCCTGATCTCAGGAAAAAGAACGAAAGGAAAAGATAATGCTAACTAGGTTAAACATAAAAAAAATCCAATGTTCTGGGCCAAAAGAAGATGTAACTGAAATACCCTTATAGCAGCTTAAACAAGAACTTTCTCCCTCCCAAGAGCAACAGAAAACCTATTACTCCACATACTGCTCTCAGAGCTCTAACAAGTCACAGCTGTCTTTCACAACAGCAGGAAGAGTGTGGTTAATGTAGAGTCACAGGGTGGCTGAAGGTGTTAGATCATGGCTGCCATCCAAGTCCATCCCATTGCTGCTTTGGAATAAGATCACTGAGCAAAATTATCTTCTGACTGAAATGCTGTTAGTTCTCCCTCTTCCTTTATGTCTGTAAGAAATTTGATATGTGACTTGTGGCCATCAAAAAAACTGAAGATTTTGGCAAGAGAAGCAACGGGATACCAATTGTTGTGGCCATGCTGGCTCACAGCTCCTGACAGCATGAATTTATGGCTGTGTCCCCACTTCACTGATAGCAGCCTGTATCAGCTAGGGAAGGCAGGAAACACATCTTCAGTAGGCAAGGCAAGAGTTCAAAAGAGAGTGACCCTCCTAAATAAAGAAATAGCAGGGAATAATCACGTACTATGCACAGGACAGAAACGTCACCACTAAATACTGTGCTGGAAAAAGATAATCAGAAATTGTCAGATTTTATCCAATTTTTAACCAGCTTCTACTCAATCCAATCTTTCAAGTAACATCAAAATGATGGTACAGCTCTTCTGAAGTAGATACACAAGCTGAACAACAAGATAGGTGGGAAATTCTTATGGCAATTAATTCTATACAAATCTCACAAAATCACACAAATTTCAAAGTTTTTTTTTTTTTTTTTTTTTTTTTTTTAAAGATTGGACTATTTATAGATTGCCTGATGAAAAATTTCCACCTGAAGATAAAGTGTAAACGCTAACAGATCTAAAGCCTTTGCAAAAACCAGAGTAAAGTAATGTTTTGTAGCGGAACAACAGGACAAAAATCGAA